CTGGGAGGTCGAAGGCTTGTCCCAGGACTCCTTGGCCAGGCTGAGGAGAGAAGGGATAAAGGCTAGCTTAATGGGTGCCAGATGGTCCTTTATCATGTCCTCAAACACCTTATCGGACTGCTGCAGCTGGGGCTGATCCACAGCCAGGTCTAGGACATCTGTGATTCTTTTATCAGCTGGGTGTAGGAGGTGTAATCCTCAGAAAGAGAAGGAGGATGACTACCTATGGTGGCAGAGCCTGGAGGAGGAGCATCAAGTGGAGTGGTGTCTCCTCTGAGTCTGAGTCCGACCCAGGCTGCGGGCCATGGGCTGGAGAGCGGATATGTGAACCATCTCCAGGGAGATCAGAGTCAGATTCCAGCCCAAGCAAGTCCTCCAGTAGATCATCCCCTTGGGCTCGAGTAGATGGGGCCAAAGACAAGGTGCTGGCACCTCAAGGCTATGCCTAGGATCTTGGGTGAGATTCACTGAGAGGCCCCTCAAGGGATGAGCTGGATGCTGTTCTCCCGCTGAAGGCTGCGAAGGAGAAATAGAGGGCCTCTAGAAACATTCCCCCGAATAAGGGGAGAACTGCTGAAACTGCCTACAAAACATTTGCCACTGTTGAAAGGCAAAAAAGGCAGCAGGATCAAATGGAGACGAGAATCCTGCGCCCTCGAGCCTGAAGCCTCTCAAGCTCTGCAGATGCTGGGAGTCCACTTAACAGCACAGCACGAAGTGGAGCTGGTTTGGGCTTGATGTGCTTCATCTTCTTTTTTTGAGGAGGGGGGCCAAGGGCTCAGGAGGGAGTGGAGTCAGTGATCAAGCCCGAGTCGAACCCTGCAGCGGCTCAGCTAGTCAGCTCTGTGCAGGAGAAGCCGGAGCTACCATGCCTGCGGGCGGGATGAACTCGTCTTGATGCTCTTCAAGCTTGAACTGTGGGAAAGGAGCCGTGGGGCAAGAAGGAACCACCGGCGCCGTTGCGCTTTTCTCTTCTTAGCCGAGGGTGGGCTGGAAGGAGGTTTCGATGCAGCCGCAGAAGCCATCGACTTTGAGCCCACGGAAGATGAAGACGATTTCCCTGGTCTTTTGGGCTGCGGAGGAGAGCGCCCTGGAGAAGCATCAGATGGCGGCGCTCTCGGGGGGGTCCATGGCAGGCGGGTCAAGGGATTTCGACCAGAGGAAGGCGGTTGGCCTATCTTGCCTGCATTTTAAGGTGGGCTTAGTAAAGGCCTTGAAGTGGATGCAAGAGGCTGGCTGGTGCCCTTCCCCCAAACAAAAGAGGCACTTAGAATGGCTGTCTTTGATGGTCACTTTGGCGTTGCAGGCCGAGCAATGTTTAAATGGTGCTTCAGCGGCCATACACGCCTCAAACACACAGTTCTATTCTTCAAATCCAACTCACGATCAAGAGAGTAGTCAATGTAGTCCGAGTCAAAAAAAAAAGGGAGGTCCAAAAATTGGTTCAGGAAAAGGAGAAAATGCTGAAAGCTCCGAACTATGCTGCTATAGCAGCGGCAGGAAACGGAACTGGAGCATTGAGTGCCAGGGGGCGGCGATATAACCTAGCTGGGAGGTCCCCTGCACTTAGTGCTTAAAGCTACAAAGTTTCCGAAGCTGCTCTGCTCAGGCACAGATTAACCCATTAGTGTGCATTCACAGAGACTACGGAGAAACGTGGGTTCTTCTAGAGCACAATCATAGACAGGTATACTCAGAAGAAAGTCCCACTGAATTCTATATTCCAACTAAATAGACTGATTCCATTGCTGAATTGCAAGTCAGCACTTACATAAATCACACTGATTCTATGGTACAGTATACTGTAGCTGGGACTACCAATCATATTCACGCTCCAAAGACTTGCTTCAGAAAATAGATACAGGATTGCAGTCTCAGTGTTGTAATACAATACTAAAAGTGTGGAAATTTATTTAAAAAGTACCAATTTGTAATTCAGGCATACAAAGAAAAAACAGGACAACAAAGAAAGTCTTAAAATTGCATTTATGATTTTATTACTGGATATGGCCCTAGCTGCAAGTTTACATTTTTTAAAGCTAAATGATAAAAAGGAAAGGAAAATAAGAGAAGAACAGTCTTGGAAAGCTGGGAGAAATAGATGTTAAAGCAATTTCTCAAAAGAAGAAGGCTGAAGAAGGTAGGATATCTCCATATGTTGTTAAACTGCAGCCCCCATCAGCCCTAGCCAGCATAGTCAATTATGAAGGATGATGGGCATTTTCATTCCACAACACCTGGAGGCCACACTTTCTCCACCCATCTTACAGATTAAGGAAATGCATCACAAGTCAGTACCAAAAGGAAAGAGTGGTCAGAATCAGGTCTGAAAACAATGGAGAACTGCTGCCAGTAATAGATGGACCACTGCTCTGACTTGGTATAAATAAGGCAGCTTTGTATCTTCCTGATCAGTATTGAGGAAGCATAAATTAAAGAGCCACCGTGATGCAATGGCCAGTGTTGGACTAGAATTGAGAGAGAACAGCATCAAATCCTACTGCCCCCTATTACCACGAGGTTGACCAGTTGCTCTCTGCCTAATCTAAGGTTTGTGAGGATATAATGGTGGTGGCAGAAAGAAAAAAATTAAACAATTTGTATTCAAAAGGAGATTAGTGGATTTTGTTCTAGAAAAATTGCAGCAATACATGAGGAAGGGAATAATAAAAAAAGCAAAGAAGAAATTAAGTGGGATGAAAGATGAATAGATTCAGTTGTCAAAATTAAATGCTTAAATATAGTAGATGAGAAAGCAAGAAAAGGGGAAGAGCAAACAGCAGAAAGCTAAGAGAACAAGGGGTCTACAACATTAGAAACAGAAACAGTTCGTCACAGATGATAAATTGAAAAACCAATAGCATGATGATAGGGTAGGAGGTATGTCACAAGGAACAAGCCCTACTGTGCTAATATTTCGGCAATTTTTTCATCAAGTCAGGGGCCCTTCAAATATTGTTTGATTGCTATCTTCCATCATTCCTCACCATTGGCTAGGGCTAATTAATACTGTGGTTCAACATCTAGAGGGCTACAACATGCTCCCTCACCCAACATATCAGGGCCAGTTGGCCCACCTGGTTTTGCTGATCGAGGTAAAGAGCAAAATGGCACCTCCATTCTCTTTAGAAGCCGATTGAACAGGTAGCTGAATTTGACATCAGTACTGACAATGGGATATACTTGAGAGCAACCAGCCAGTTTAGGATCCACACAGCTGTATTCTCCTAGGGACAGGAGCAACTACTGGGCTTATGAGGAAGGGCTAGGGGGCTGCTCCCCCTAAAATGTTCCATCTAAAGCAGGCTTGTCCAACCCGCAGCTCAAGGGCTGCATGCGGCCCAGGTCAGCTCGTAATGCGGCCCAGTGCAATTTTTTATTTTTAAAGAAATTCCAAAGTTTCAAGTTACACTGCCGGCGCTTGCGGCCGGAATGTGGCCGGGGCATGTCACAACAGTAGAGGGGGAGAGAGGGAAGGAAGGAGTGAGTAGGAAGGGAGGGGACAGGGGGCTGCGTGACTGCATTGTGCCGTCCCCGTCAATAGGTGGACCTCCTCCCAGCCCCATAAAGCTGCCGGAGTCGAAGCTGGCAGTCTCTGCTGTCTGAGATCGCAGCTGCCGGTAAGCGCGCTTGGAGCGGGGCTGCGGAGGACGGCAAAGGCTGCCCCTCCATGCGGCCCAAACCAAATGTATGTGCAGCCCAAACCAAATTTTCATCTTCTAATGTGGCCCAGGGAAGGTGAAAGGCTGATCTAAAGCATCTCCCTCATTGCTCAATGGTATGGCCAACGCAGGCTACTAATTTTCTGTCCATAAGCAATCTTTGCATTCTGATGTGATTTTACCTCTAACCCACTGAGTTGGGGAGGCAGCAGCATAGAAAGTGTATGTACATCAATAGCAATGGGAGCTACATTATAAGATGCAGGCAACATGAAGTCCCGCTCATGTACTGAGGTATGCCACATACTCCGCTGGCTGTAGGCTGGCATGTACATTTTGTGACAGTATCATTTTAAAAAGAATATCAGTACATACACAGACACACACACAACTAGCAAACACAGTTGACAGCAGTGGGGGAAAGTTACATCTCTGGGGCTACAACTTCTGTAAACCTCTAGTCAACACAGCTAGTAGCCATGCTGGATGAGGGAATCCAGGGATTATAGTCCTCAAAAAGTAACTTCTCTAACTCTTGTTGAAAGTAATAGGATTTAGCTGAAATTTGAGTATGCCTTTTCAAGCATGTGCTCTTTTTCAGGAGCAATTGCTATACAATCTAGCCCATTCAGTCAGGAGATAATCTCCTTGCAGTGAATAAAACAAACACCAGGAAAAAATGAACGAGGTCTTATTTTGTTTCGGAGAAGGTTTTGCCAATTTTTCTTGACCCTACACTTTTTGGAATTATCTGAAAGTGCTAAGGTACTTTGTGTACCAAAAATGCTTTCATGCAAATTAAAAATAATACCCTAACACAGCACTTGGTTAAAGCGGATTAAGCCTGACAGAATTTAAAGGCATCTAATTGCATGAATTGCAGGACAGCTTGTGGCCAAAATGCAGACTCAAAGAGCTGTACAATTACTTTTGGACAGCCAATCAGGGTGGGACAAGTTTAGATGTATTTTCTCAATCAGCAGAAACTCCTCTTCAAATGTTTTTGTGGCAAGAACTTTTCTGAAGAGTTTTAGTGGAATTTAAAACCTGGCACAATGTTGGCTGTAAAAAGGATATGACAGCTTTTTTTTTTTAATCTCACAAGGAATGGTGAAGCTTGGGGCATATTTGAAGTTGCCGTCTCATTCCCAAATATATTTCTCAATTTTAGATTCCAAAATTTAACATTTCAATCCGATACACATTAAAATACAAATGGAACACTGAAAATGGAGAGCGAAGGGGGGGGAACATTACCACATTCTAATGATGACTAAAATTAAATAATGAAGAAGACCAAAAAGGAAGGGGGGGGGAGAAGAAAAAGAAAAAGAATGCTAATGATATATTTTGTTTATTATTGCTCTCAAAGGGCTTGGTAGTCAAATATACAAGCTATATTCTATTAAACCAGAAGAAAATAGTGTAAGGTATAAAATCTATACTCACTGTTCCAGTTGATATTCTTTATGACACACACTGCCATTTCCATTAATGTTCTTTCGTACATAGTTTGCATATTTAATTTAAAAAATAAAAACCTATTTGAAGAGACAAATCATAGTTCAAGCCAAAAAGATGAGCTGTCATGTAGTAATTTGTGCAATGTTCTACATTTCGGTTTTCAAAATGGATATGTCTTTCTAGAATGGCAAACAAATCAATGTGTGCTCTTCACTATGTTTTCAAAGCAAAGGATGATCAATATGCCATGATATGAAAATAAAACTAAAGAGAAAAAAATCTGAATTTTCTCCCCATAAGGTACATGCACTACTCCCACTACCTTCAAGCAGGAGTCAACTGTACTATGCTGAAACTGGACAACTACTTTTTAAAAGATACATATGCACATTCTCTTCTTGTTTGGAACCTCTGCACGTGTGACCCCACAATGGGACCTGCTCCCCTTAATTACGTTGAACTTTCAGGGCTTCTCTGCCAGTATTAAACTCCTTGCTCACACGTAGTTGTAGCACTTTGCTTTTGTTGTTGACTGCAGTTAAAATACATTTAACATTATCTTCAGAAATCAATTATACAGCATCTTTTGAAGAAGAAAATGAATTCAAACAAGCAAAGGTTACTTATGTAATTTGTTTAAAAATCATGTCTGTTTTCATTTTCTAATTAGAAAACACATTTTCTGTTTAGCTGTCTAACAATTTAAAACAAAGCAAACAGTGGAAAATATCTACAGAGCAAAGAATACAGTCATGGCTGGATTTTGCCTCTCTCCAAGAAGCGTGTGTTCAACTTCTAATGAAGTTAATCATAAGAATTGCTTGCCCTTACAGTCAGGGTGGATTTTATCCCTCTCTGGAAGCATTATTTGTGTATTCCAGGACTTGATTTTCCTGTGCAATTTTCTCCAAGGGGGAAAAACACAGCAAAATGCATGGTTACTATAGGCTATGATCTGAAGTACTACTATTCACATGCAGGAAAGCAACAAATACAACACATTTTTCGCTGCAGTAATTGTCCCTGATGAAGAATTATTCAATTTGAAAATGGCTTGTTTCTTCAGCAACAGAAACTGGTGCAGCAGAACAACTACCGATGTTTCTCTTTAATGTCACTCTCTACCATGCTTGCATATCAGTTATTTTGATCACAGCTCATAAGACAAGTTGAAATAAATCTTTCATTGGCTAAAATCCTGTTCCTGTAAAGTCATCAACTGGTGCTGGGAATGTTTAATTAACTACATAAAAGCTATGTCTCCCCTATTTTTAGATTCCAAGGATCCCCAGGGCTCCCTTTTGCCCTGGGGAAGCCTTTGGGACCCTTGGCATGTGAGGGGAGACTTTAAAGGTCAAAAATTGCTGAAATCTTTGTTACCTGGATTGGGATTGTTGACCACAATCCAACGGCAATTTTTGACTTTAACTGAGGTACACAAAGCTTTTAATTAAATGTTACCAGCACCAGCTGATAACATCAGCTTCCGCTGTGTAGCCTGAATAGGATCTTGCCCATTGAGAAAAACCTAAGCATATGCACATGGCATAAGAAAGCAAGGATAAGCACTTCCCATGAAGCATTTCTCCATATTTTAGGGTAGCAAGCTGCAAACAAAAATATTTCAAAAAAGTGAATCTGAGTGGGGAATAAATCATTCTTTAAATAAAAACCTATTTAAAACTATCAGATTATTAGATAACAATATGTGTGTTAATATTGCAATGTCAGGAGTGGTGGGACATGTTTTTTAAAATCTATTCAGAAAAATTAATTCCATGTTGTTCGTGGTACAGAACTGATGGCAAAATTTGATCCCAGCACTGAAAGAAGACACATGTCACTACCTGGGAACTACAAATCCCTCCCCCAGGTCCCCTTTAATTATATGCAAAAAAAAAAACCCCAGTCAATCTGCAAAACTCTACTAAGGACACAACGCAGCCTCCATTCTTTGTGGCTAACTATTTCCTTGGAACACCCCTTACACTGAGACACTTAGAGAGTTACACATACACATAAGTGTGTTTCACCTACACACAGTTTTCCAGAGGGAAGCAGCCTCTGTATATGCTGTGAGTAAATATCGAAGTCACATGAGGGCTGCACTGTTTCTATCAATATACTCCAGAGCCAGATATGGTAGAAACTGTATTGGGATCTTGAAAATGCAGCAGGAAAAAAAGAGTCTTTACCACCCAATGTATAGACGTTAAAGGATTTTTTAAGCAATTTTTTTTTACAAAATGAAAATCTAATATGATAACATAAGGCAGATAATACCTTCTCCCTCTGCCTGCTTATTTAAAATAAAGTTGTTCCAATTTCAAATGAAAGTACTTTCAGGGTAAGTTTGGTTAAAATTGCAAATCCAGGGGTATAATCCCCACCACCACCACACACCACGTATTTGCCGTAAACGTCTCCTGCGTTTAAGAGTTGCTAAATAAAAGATACTCTCCAGATTCCTATAAAAATAACATCTACTTTTTTTGGACTACAATTCTCAAAACCACCAAACCACAACCTCCCACCAGCATGGGAGTAAACAATAATCCACATTATCAACATTCCATTTTTGCCTACCCTCTCTTATTGTGTTGGTGTATGCTGTTTTTCAAAAGAAATCCATGAGGAATGAGACTTCTGAACAGAATAGACCTGAAAAAAACTAGGAAACTGAACAGTCTTAGTCACACAGCTCCAAATTTGATCGTTATCAGAGATTTTTTTTTAAGAAAAGAAATACCGAGTTCAATATCTATGTATGAAATTGAGCTAAGCATATTCCATTTATAACTGGAACAACACAAGGGAGAAGTGTGTGTTTGTGTGTGCTTGGAATGGAATTCATTCTGGTAATGTCTATTTGAAAGTATGTGCTTATCAGTAAGGTACTGCTGCCATCAAAATGTCTTTTTTTTGCAGGTTAGTTAATATTAAAATAAAATTATAATGATTTGAAAAGATGAAGTAGCTTTTCCAAGTAGGTTCCTCTCCCAAGAAACAGCTGTAAAATTAACTGAATATTGCATTTTGCTGCAATGCATGCTGCCTGGTGTTTTGTTTTTCAAAGAAAAAGATGCTAAAAATAAGAAAAGGTTAAAACAGTTTTAGCAAGAAGAAACAATAAGATCCTCTTGCAAAGCAGGTCTTGTATTCTTGAAAGACAAACCAGTTATTGAAAAACAAATAACGTGAAGATGCACACAGCTCCACACATTACCTCCTCCCACCCACCTTCGAGGGGGAAAAATTCGCCCAGATTTTTCTCCAAAAACTACGAATACAGGTATCCTTAGGAAGGTAAGCAGTCAGTCCTTTCCTCTTCTCTTAAATGTTCCAATTTTTTCAGTCTTGGCTCAAGTATTATTAGTTATCAGTTAATAAGAAAAAAAAAGATAAGTTTTCTAAGTGTCTTTCTTTCAGCAAAGTTAATTTGATACCATAGTCTTGTTATATGTTCAGAATTGCATCTGTAAAATTATTTCTTTTTCTTGAATTCTTGATTGCCATAGCTGGAGCCCTTTTCTATCTCAGTCACTCCTATCAGTCTACGAACTCCAAAGGAAGCTTTAAAAGAAAAGAAAAAATACTGAGTTACTTCAATGTTTGGTAAAATATCAAGAAGTACATACCTGAATGTAACACAGACACACACAGACAAAGACACACACACATTTAATAGGTATGTAGGCTGTACATACTCTATGTTTAAACGAAACAGTAACACTCATTACTGCACTAATAAAAACAATTCTGGAAGCTATCAAAGTATATATTAGTTACGCAGTTATTTACAGAAAGCATGCTGTTTGACCTAGTGATTAGGACTAGGAGTGCGATTTCTTTCCTTCCTTCCAACTCCCAGAATTCTCTGAGAACTCCTCTGATAAAATGCTAGAAAATCCAGGCCACAAACACACACCTGCAGACATCTTTGTTTCACTCACTTGGACAAGGTTTCCTTCTAGGTCTTTTTCTTCTTCTACTCTGTTTCCTAGGAAGAAGCTGCTGCAATTGCTGGGGGGGGTGGGGAGAAATCTTCAGAAGGAACCCTTCGTAGATCATAAAGAACAACAATACCCTGAGGAAGAACTGTGGCAGCTTCTTCTCGGGAAGTACCAGAGCAAGAAATGATGACCTAAAGGACACCTAGGAGGAGACCTTGGCCTTGTCCAGGTCAGTGAATAGAAGGTGTTTATGAAGGAAGCAGTGGGGACGTGGTGGTGCTGTGGGTTAAACCGCAGAAGCCTGTGCTGCAGGGTCAGAAGAGCAAGCAGTTGTAAGATCGCATCCATGCGACGGAGTGAGCGCCCATCGCTTGTCCCAGCTCCCGCCAACCTAGCGGTTCGAAAGCATGCAAATGCAAGGAGATAAATAGGAACCACTTCGGTGGGAAGGTAACAGCGTTCCGTGTCTAAGTCGCACTGGCCATGTGACCACGGAAGATTGTCTTTGGACAAATGCTGGCTCTATGGCTTGGAAACGGGGATGAGCACCGCCCCCTAGAGTCGAACACGACTGGACAAAAATTGTCAAGGGGAACCTTTACCTTTTTATGAAGGAAGCAAGGTAGGAAGGAAGGCACTCCTCAAATTAGGAAAAATATAGCAAGACTGGGCTAAACTCTTCACATTTCTTTATTATCCTGCCTTTGTGAACTATAGGAGTAACTTCGCTCTTAAACACCTTTTTACTAAATACCAAACATAGTTAGAACCGTGTTATAATGCAGAAATACAGATCAACACAATAGAGAAATGGGAAATGTATCTATCAAGCATTCTTCTCTGCCCCCCCTTCCTCAAAGTAAATAATACTGCTGTCTGGTTATATTACAAAATTCTGATGCATATGTTTAAATCCAATGTTGAAACACCCTGTTTTAATTGGTTAAGTTTTATTACCTGCTCCAACAAAGCCCAGGAATGCAAGAATCAGAAGAGGGGATCCACTTGCAAAAATTCCAAAACCAAATTTGAAAAGAGGAGAGAGTAAAATGGTTGCCCAGAAGAAAAAGTTGAGGAGAGTCCATGGTCTTCTGGGAGGTTTGAATTGTTGCCCAGGAAAGGTGCCCTCTTGATTATACTTCTCTTGTAAAGCATCCTTGAAGAGAGGGAAAAAAAGGATTCCCAACCTCAGGATGCGTAAGCTTGAGTTCACATCATTTAAACCCTGTAAATATTAACAGTAACATAAGCAGGCCTCTACCCCTCAGTGACACTGGCTGCTACTTGAAGAATTTGCATTTGCATATTAGTCTGTTTCTGTTGTACACAGAAGACAATGTACACGAGGTATCTTTCTGTTTTAATTTTTTAAATTCTAAAATTTTGAGCTCCATATTATTTCCCATATATGTTTGTACGTGTGCAGTTAAAGCACAAACAAATCTGCTAAGAGTGTCATATCAAATAAGGAACAGTCAAAGGGATGAATGAATGAAATGCTTCAGTTCAGTAACAACAGCATCTCAAGGACTGTTAAAGCATGTTTAATCAAACCCAATACAAAACATGTATTAATTAATATATTTACACCCTGCCCTTATCAAAAGAACTCATGGCAGGACACAATAAAATTACTGTAAACAAATCTAAACAAACATGTACGTACTTTAAAACAACTGAAAACACTTTAATAAATGAAGGAAGACTGCATCGTACTTTCTGATCACTCTTGGCTAAATTAGATGCAAGATTGGAAATTTGTGTTATTGGGAACTCCCATAGTTATTTAAGTACCTTGTGGCACAGTGGTTAAAACTGCAGTACTAAAGCCAAAACTCTGCTCATGACCAAGGCTCAATCCCAAGTACATAGCTCGAGGTTCATTCAGCCTTCCATCTTTCCAAAGTTAGGGCACTGAGTACCCAGTTTGCTGGGGGTGGGACATGTGTAACTTTTATAATTACATTGTAAACCACTTGAAAGTGCTTAAATGCTATGGAGTGGTATATAAGTAGCATGCTTTAAGAGTTCTAGCAAGTGTTGAATGCAACTTTTATTGGACCCATGGCTTGAGGTGAGAAACTCAAGAGTGCTGCAGGGTAGCAATTTTAGTTGGATAAAGGGTTACCACATAATACCATAGTCTCAGTCCATCCCAAATCCATATACAGTGGGGCCTCGCTTAGCAATTGCTTTGTTTAACGACGAAATCGCTTAGCGACAACTTTTTCGGAGCGTTTTACGCTTCGTTTAACGATGGTCCCTATGGGCGATTTTCGCTTAGCGATGGTTAGGACCATGCTTCGCATAGCAATTAAATTTTGGGGGGCCTGTTTCGCTTAACGATGGTTTAAACAGCCTCATGTTTGCTGTTTTTTAAATGTTTTTCTGTTATTTATAAAGTTAAAGTTTACTCTTTAAAATGTTTGACATCATAAAGTGCACTTAATAAACCCTTTGTTAACCAAATTTGACTTTGTTCTGACTCTTTTTTAATTTGTTGTTGTATTTTTCCCCCCATTGAGATGCACTGAATAGGTTTCAATGCATTTCAATTGGAGAACTGCGTTTCGCTTAGCGATGTTTCCTATGGCAATTTTCGCTTAAGGACGGAAATTCTTTCCTATTGGAACGGATTATCCGGTTTTCAATGCATTTCAATGGGAAACCGCGTTTCGCTTAGGGATGAAATTGCTTAGCAGCGATTTTTTTGGAACCAATTAACATCGTTAAGCGAGGCACCACTGTACCTTACAGTTGCCATGAACTTCTAAAGAGCTGTGTGACATCTTCATCATGGATATCCCATATCAAGTCCTGTTGGCTCCCAAACAAAAGAAAGACTTCCTTGTTAGCAATATACAGTCTATGCGGTCTTAAAGACAGAAAACGCTATTTACCTTTTCCTGATAAAGTTTATGAAGCCACTTTGCTGCTTCTTTTTCATCTAAAGGAATATCTTCTAGAGGAAACCGCCTAGTGTGTTTAAAAAGATCCAGAAAGAGCTTTTCTTATTGGGTGAATAAGCACAACATATACATTTTCAGCTTTTATGCTACTTCCACTTTTATCTCACATGCATTTTTAAGCCTTGAACTATTGGCAGAAATAATCAGATTGACTGGAATCAGGAGATTTTAGTCAACTCCTCTTTTTTCTTTGTTGCCAGAATTTTTCTTTTATATTCCTCTACAGTGATGTGAGGTATGCACATCTGTGTATGTCTATGATAAAGCTTGTATTGAATAACTGATACATGTCCAATCCGCACTCAACATGAATAGTGCCAAGAGTAGATTCTACTTTCAAGGATGCACATCAGCCCTACAATATATCAAGTAACAAGAGAAATATAGCCTATATTCACTATCAAGCATAATAAACTGAACCTGCAACTTTCCCTCAAATTTTCTCCTTTTTTTAGAGTTTAGCAGTGAAGCAACATTGGTTAAATTCCAGTCACTCATCTCTTTCCCTGCTGGTCAGTGTCCCATCTTTCATTCATTCTAACAGAGCTGTAAAACCAAATTTGGAAATTCATGTGCTCATCATGGCAGCCTCCATAACTGGTGCTCCATCAAGAAGAATCCTGAAAAAGCAGGCAGTTGGATCTGTCAAGATCAATAAGTGAGAAGCTGGTCTTTTGTAATATTATTTGATTTTAATTGCCCATTCAAGACCAACCAAATACTTTGCCTTACATTTGGGATAGCTTACAACAGTATACCACTCTTGGAAAAATCCACGTCTGTCCCAGCTATCATAAGGATTATAACTAATACTATTGGAACCATCCACCAAAACACAGATGCATCACCCTGACAACATATGAAATTTGGACAGGTCTCGCACTACAAAAATAGCTAAGCACAATAGAGCAACCACAAGAAGCCCTAGAGTCACAACCCATAATGTTCTATCTCCACTGAAACATTCATTTCCATTCATTGCCTCAAGACTTGTTTTGGAAATATTCTAGACAAACAGGGCCATATAGCAGGGGTGGAGAACACATGACCCTCTAGGTTCCCAAAGTGGTCTATATGGACCCCCAGGGGTCGATTTCGACTTGCAGGGGGTCCACATCAGAGAGTAAAACATTGGGGGGTGCAAGTTTAGACTTGTATCAAAGCTTTGCAGGGGGTAGGGGGTCTACGGAAAACAAATAAGTCGGCAAGTGGTCTGCGGGGCAAAAAAGTTTGGGAACCTATGCTAGACTAGAACTCACAGCAATCCTAACCAGTATAGCCAATAGTGGTGTTATTGTACTCCAGCAACAATCAGAAGGTTGCAAGTTCTCCATCCCTGACTACAGAGTGAAATGGAGTTGTTTTCACTGCTACACTTCCTAATGAGCCTCTGTAAAATTCTGTTTGCAAAATCAACTTTACAAAAGGCCGCAATCCTATGTATACTTACCTGGGAGTAACACCCTTTGAACCCAGTGGAAATTACCCCTGAGTAAACATGCATAGGATTGCACTTTTATTCATAGTTAGGCAGAATCTTTCCCAGATGTTGTAAAAATTGGAACATGGCCATCTGTTGTTTCCCCTGCTCATTTTAAAAAAGGTATACCAATGAACACTTGTTGCAAAATATCCACCCTGAATCCAAAGGGTTATCATGTGCATATGCTTAGATTTATAGACTAAACTACGAAATGCTCCCCTTGTTAGATATTATCAATGACTATTCTAACTGTCAAGGTCTTTCATGCATTTTAATATAAATGTCACTGAAAACCCTAGAGGGCTGCATCCCTGGAATGCATGGGCCACTAGAGGGTGCCCATATCCAGAACATGTTGATCATTTAGCAAACATTCTGTTTTTCAGAGTCTATTATGAAATTAGAGAAAATTAACATTTAATTGAGAAAGCACAGTGAAAAGGAGCTGAAAGCCAGATTGACTTCAGCTATTTAGAAGAGCCTGAAGGCTACTGTTTAACAAGACTGGACTATACACTTTGTTTATTCACTGTTTTTAAGAGGTGGTGGTACCATTGTTTGAAACCTGAGATAATGCACTTCAAGTGCATTTTTCAAATCAAACATGAAATTAACTATAACATAGCAAGAACAGATCAGTATTTTTAAAGGATTTGTACAATAGGGATTTTCATATTTGTCTTCACACTTCATACTAAATGTGCAATGAAAACAAGCCTGAACAGTTAACAGTTATGAACCAGTTGATCCCAACTTTGGCTAGCACAGATGTTGTTGAATTGCATCTCCAAGAACTTCCTGAAAGCACAGCTGGTGGTGAAGGCTTCTGGGAATTGCAGTTCAAGAACACCTCGGTTACCCAAAGTTGGGAACCACTGGTATAAACCCATGGTTTATGTGTATGAGAGAGAAACAGAGAGAGAGAGAGAGAGAAGCATAGGGTGTAGCTCCACAACTATTTTCCTGCCTTGTACTCTGAACTAAAGGAGTAACTACATTCTTGGAACATTTTTACTAAATACCAAACATAGCTAGCACCGTGTTATAATGCAGAAATACAGATCAACAGAACAGAGAAATGGGAAATGCATCTATCAAACATTCTTCTCTGCACACACACACCCCCTCGCATCTTCCAAGTAAATAACATTGCTATCGGGCTATATTACAAAATTCTGATGCACATGTTTAAATCCAGTGTTGAAACCCCTTGTTTTAATTGGTAAGTTTTATTATATATTTGTCCATATTATATATATATATGTCCAGACAATATACGGACATGGCAACTCTCAAATACATGCTGTACATGAAGGCTCACCTGACACACATATCTGCTTCGTATTTCTTCCCATAAAGGATCCCTAGTAGGGATGGGTTCTTGTTTCCTCTGAAGTTTAACGTTACATCATACACTGCTGAAACTGTTATAAGCAAGATATATCCATCACTTCAGTTTCCAGACTGTTAGGATTCAACTTACTTAATAATTATACTAAAAGCACAAGCATAGATATAAACAAGTGACACACTTGAGTCTGGCAGCACATATTTCTTCACTGGCCAGGACTACGTATACCCAAAACAACTTACTGTGCTGTAACTCTAACAGCACTAAACTGATCAGGCACAGCAATCCATTCCAATCAGCTAAATGTGCATATGCCCCCTACTTGCCTTAGGGCTAGCTCCTGTATAATATCAAACCACAATCTGCCTGCAAAGAAGGTAAAAGCCATGGTTTGATCATTCTGGTTTGCAGGGAGTTAATGGCAGCATTCAGATATAGCATTACACCACAGTTTAGTGATGTGCTAGTGAGCATCCATCTCACTCTTTCCCTTTCCTCATTCACTCTGCTGCAGTGGAGTGGAGACGAAGCTGTGTGGAGATTTTGCTTCCATTTAAAACTATACAACGCCCACAGTTACACCTGAATTGGGACAAACTCTGGTTAGTTTATTTGCGGTTTTTCCCAAACAAGTTAACATGAATCTATGGTTTCTCCTCCTGATTTGAACAGCCAAACCATAATTAAAAGTAACAACAAAATAGCAATTAATTTAAATCAAAAATGTCTGATCTATTTGTTTATATCAGCAAATTGCAGTTTGCCATGGTTTATCAAATCCATTAAATGCACAAGTGGGTATCTCACACTTCCTGATGTTCACAGGACTTTAAATCTCACTGATATTTCTCTTTGTTTTCTACTTAGGAGAACAGAAGGGAAGAAAGATTTCAAGTTGCAAAGGGAAGCTCTTGCATTGCTATCATTGGTCAATTAAGAAACATACTATTACAACTTCTTAGGAAATTGACATATGGAGGTCACTGTGGTTAAGGAGTGGTATGAAATAAGGCAATTCACCTTGTGTCATTAGAGAGAAAACTTGTGCAACTTTCTAGATTCTTTTAGTCCCACAATCTACAGCATTTCTGATGCTGGTAGCTGGCAAGATAACCATCAAGCATGTAACCCAACAACAGTATTTCACCAACCATCTGTCCTATTTAACAGCCTAGTGTGTGGTGTAACACAAACTTACACCTCACATACATCCTGAGAGTGTTAATTAGACTATGTTTGCATAGCACTTAAGAAATGTGAACTGCTAAGCAGCATTATTAATTTCTCTACATTTAAAAAAACTAGTAAATGTATTAGACTATTTAACATAAGAACAACTAGCAGTTTAAATGCCAGCATTTACGTCAAGGTAGGTTTTGCATTTAAGAACAGCAACAACAAATATAATGGCCAACAGCAAGGACTGGGCCAAAAGATCATGGTTAATGAGAATTTGGATAACAAAAAGTATAAACCAGTTAATATACAGAAATTATAAAAAAAATTAACCAGTAAAAGAAAAAAATCATAAATTGGACTAAATTGAATATATCAGTGCTAGGGAGAATAGCATTAGTCAAAGCACATTTATTACCAACATTTTTATTTTTATTTCATAATATACCAGTACAACCTGAAATTAAAAAAACAAAATTATGGAAAAAAAAAACCCTCAAAAGTTTGATTGGCAGAAAAGGGAAAAAGCTAAGGTTCATAAGCTGTGTAAAATATGGTCAAAGCATAAAGGGAGGGCTAGGGATACCATAATTAATAAAGTATTATGAAGCCTTTCAAATTGCTCAAGTAATAAAGTGTATATGGACAGAAGAAATCCCAGATTGGGTTTAAATGGAAGGAGAGGAGGATAATGGTGTAGTTAACACTTATATTTATACAATGGAATCAATTAGAAAGAAGGAAGAATTACAAAATCCTTATGAGACACTGAAAATATGGCATAAATACAGGAGATTATTTGCTCCACCTATATCCCCTCTATGCCCCATACTGGATTATCCAAAATTTAAATCAAGAGAGAAATATGTACAATTCAAAAATTGGAAAAGAATTCAAATTTATAGAATAAGAGACCTATTTGACGCAGGGAAATCAATAACAATTAGAGGACAAAACAAAGGAAATAAAAACTAATTGGCTACAATTAATACAGGTAAGAAATTTGGCAATTTATTTATACCAAAGTTTTGGACCTATGAGAATGCTCACAGAACTGGAACAATATAGTATAGAAAAAGATCAAAATAAAAGGAAGGGAATAACTTCAGTAAGATGTAAACATTTGGTTGAGAAAGCATTTCCCAGGGTATGGGATCTAAAATAACATGGGAAACAAATTTGAATATTAATATATCAAAGAAAGAATGGATGGAAATATGGACCACATATCTATATAAATCAATATCAGTTAAAACAAAAGAAATGCTTTGAAGGTAGTCCATAGATGGTATTGGCACCCCACAAAATTAATGGAGAACTCTCCGATAGGTGCTGGGAGAAACTGTGTAAGTAAAGGCACACAACACATGTGGATCTCTTGCCCCAAAGTGGAAGCATATTGGCGGGGAAAATTAAATGGATAGAAACATTGTTGAATCAAAAAATAATTTAAAATGAAGCTTTATTATTATTTTCAATATTTAAGGGTAGAAATGAAAAATTATTTAATAAAGACCTAATTGCACATCTTATTGGTGCAGTAAGAGCTGAAATTGCACAAAACTGGAGAAATGCTCAAGATCTTTCAGTACAAAAATTTGAGAACAGAATCTGGCAAATGGTCCTGATGGAAAAGTTGACCAATCAAATTAAAATATATAGAGGAGAAATAAAACAGGATAAATTTATGAAAACCTGGCAACCATTATTAATATATGGAATTAGCTCAAGAAAAGAAGAATGGGAAATGGGAAGTAAATTGGATTACTGGTATGTAATATTTTAAAATAATTAATTAATTATGTTAAAATATGAAGTAATGGATGTGTAAAGAAAGATAATGTGCTGATGGGCTGTAGGTGATATGATAGTATTGTACTACAGTTCTAACTACCATTGCCATACTATCGATGTTACTAAAATAATTTTTAAAAATTTGAAAAATTTTTAAAAAATAAAAAGATCATGGTTAATAAACACTGCAAGCAAAGCCAAGGAAACAAATACCTGTTCCCCTGAGACACTGGACAGCAGTAGTGAAACCTCTGGTTCTGGGCAACAGGTGATATTTGAGTTTAGGTAACCCCTTGGATTCTGCCACCTCCATGCTGATACGATGCTTGGTCTCTGTAAAACGAGTTCCTTCACAATACAAGAGAAACTGTGGTAAAATAAAAAGGGAAAAAAGGTCTAGTACTATTGTTTAAATAGTATTATTATTGTCTATTTTTTTAAAAAAGTACGTATGCATGTGAATGACCAATATAAACACACTGGCAACTGGCTTTGAATCTAGAAACATCTCTTTCAGAAGGAGAATTGCAAAATGCCAAAAGGCCCAATTTTGGTAGATTCCCTTCTTTTTGCAAAAATCTCCAACAGGCAATAAAGAGAAAATTCCCAGAGACTGTATTCCTCCTTCAAGGGTGGAGGCCTTGCAAGCCAAATTCATTTTAGGAGAAATTGTCAGAATCTTACTTCAGCCCTCTAGTGCTGGATTTGCATCCTCTATCACAGCAAAGGGCAACAAGCTAGTTTAGAAAGGCACAGGGCCAACAATATAGAACATATCATTCTCCAAGATAAGGAAGCAGTTGCCTGTAGCCAACAATATGGAACATATTCTCCAAGATAAGGAAGCAGTTGCCTGTTTCCACTGTGTTCCATTTAGGGTCCTGATGTCTCACCTGCTTCCCAATTCCTGACTTAAATTGTGTGTTCATACAGTGAGCTTGCTGGCTGATTCAATTCATCCATACTTAGGACTTAATGAATGGCAGCCTTGACATTGGATACTGGCCACTCAATTCATCCATACTTAGGACTTAATGGCAGCCTTGACATTGGATACTGGCCAGTGAGATGGACCCTGGAACTCATACTATTTCCTCACCTGCTTAAAACATCTTCTATGTCATGGGGGAGCAAATCTGTATCTGTTTAACCCCAGGGTGGGTTAGCAATAGACATGTTGTTTTCCTATCTATCCATATACAGTACACAGCAAAACTGAATGTAGCATTTCTAATAGCATATTTCTAAACAATTTCATATATTATTTCTGTATTAGTAAAAGCTTGTACTAGGATTTATTATACCCTAGTACTGTATAATAATATTATTAGCATAGGCATCCTTCAGTCTCGAGAGACTATGGTAACAGGCTCTGAATCAAGGAGTGTCCTCTCCAGAGCATGAAGCCTGGGTAAAGTAATATGGAGGATAGGCTGTTACCCAAGCAGCAGATTCCCCCCTCTCCACGTTGCTGAAATGGTCCAATGGAAAGGCGAGAGCCAATACAACTGGTTCCAGCAACGTTGCAGGAGTTGGCAGAACGACACGAACTGCCTCCGGGACTCCAGCTCCAGATTTTGCCTCGAGGTTTACTCCTGAAGCCTTTTCCATGAGTGGATATAGCCACAAGGCAGTGGAGGTTTGAAATCATACACTAGTAAAATAGCATTAAAATATTATTAAAATAGCATGGTGTAACATAATGATATTGCAAAGCCACTTCTGCAAAATCCATTCTTGAGCATAATACCCAAATATGTACCATATGCTGCCTGGGGAATTTTGGGAGTTGTAGTCCATAAACACAAATCTGCACACCTCCAATGACCCCCAAAGTAAGGTGGGAATGTCACAAAATAAGCTGCAAAAACCAAGGAATAGTTTCATTTCTCGATCCTAGTGGGACTTAGGTATGCATTGACTTCATAGGTCTCATTGATTCAGTGGGTCTCTTCTATCCGAGACTAACCACTGGATTTAACTGTAAGGATTTTAGTTAACATTCACTGTACACTCATCCATCATAGGACACAGAGGACAGACTGCATACTATATATTATTACACATGACCCCATCTATAAAAACATTAATCAATTTAATATGACGAGATAAATATGGAACATACAGGGCTATAATTTTTATGATCCTATTGAAAGTGCAGAAGAAGTGCTATGTAAAACGTACCCACATATATTCAGGATAATCAGACAGTCGTTTTAACCCTTCAACAACTGTGTCTCTGTCTTCCTCCCATTTTCTTTTGCAGAAAACAATCTCCAGGAAATACCATGTCCAGCCAATTAGAGGTACATATAGCAGTTCTTTTTTAGCAAGAACTTTTGAACTCTGCAAAAAAAAAAAACCACCACAGAAAAAATTATGCTTGTTTCCCTTCAATTTACATATAATGCCATTTGCAAAAATGTTCTGATAGGTTTAGGGAGTATTTGGAAGTTCTAATTTATTTATTATATTATGTTCCACCTTTCCAGGAGCTCAAAGGAAGAGACATGGTTCTCCTGCTCAGCAGTTTATTCTCACCATAATAAGGAGTGACCGGAGGATTCTGGGAGTTGTAGTCCAAAAAGGTAATTTTTCTAAGTTTTGATTTTAGTCTGAGTTTGATAGTCTAACATTATGTCTCACTAGTGTTCTAATAGTGCAATTTAAAAATTTTGTTTTTATTGTTAGCAGTCAGGAAGATTTAACTAACGTGAATAGTTCAGAAAAAAAACGAATAAATATCAACTGACACTTCTTCCAAGTAAGATCACCTCAATCAAATTATTAAAATATTCAAGGTTAAAACTACTCACCCCTAATACACCAAAGCGCTCTGTCATGGTCCAGCCACACAGAAAATCTATTTCAAAGTTGTGGTTCAGGATGATGATGACATGTTCTTTTCCAAACTTATCAACTGTGGCCTGATCTGAGAATAATGTACATTCTGTACCAGACCACCACTCCAGCAACATCACTAACTCTAGATCACAAAAATAAAGAAACAAAATAGATTAGCTGTTAGACTGGATGCCAGTATATGTTGCAGTCTGTTTCTAACTTGGCCTCTTCTTTAAGCTAGTACAGTGGTGCCTTGACTTACGAACGTCACGACATACGACCATTTTGAGTTGCAACCAGCTCCGGCCACAAAATTTTGCTTCAACTTGCGGCCGGAGCTTCGAGTTGCAAACAAAAGAGGCGGGGGGGAAGGCGGGGAATTCAAATTACAGGACTAACTGTTAGTAGGCAAAGAGTTTCCTTGTAGATCTTTTGCCTCCAACGGTTAGAGAGTGTGTGTCAGAGGAGGCTTCTGACTGCCTGGTGCTGCTTTCTTCTTATGGGTGAATACATTTACAGGGTTTTGCAGGGTGGGTTTGGGGGGGTTATGTTTCTGTGCTCTCATTTTTTTTGTTTATTTGATGAGTGCTTTTTCCCCAGCCCCATCACGTTTCGATGGGGTTGGCTGCGTGCGTGAGGGTGTTTTTAAATTTTTTTCCCCAGCCCCATCACATTCCAGGGATTTTTTGAGATTATTTTTCAGCCCCATCACATTCTGACGGGGCTTGCAGTGGTTGGTTGTGGTTTTTTGTGGGGGTTTTTTTGGTGTTTTGTCTGGAACGGATTAATCGCGTTCCAATGCATTTCTATGGGAAACGGTGCTTCGACTTACGGCCATCTTCTGGAACGGACTGTGGTTATAAGTCAAGGCACCACTGTAGTTGTCAATTATGCAATTATATTGTTTACCTAGGACAGAAGATTCCTTCTTGGATACCTTAACCTGGTGGAAGGGTTGAGTATATCAGGGAAGTTGAGAACAATATCATTTGGAAGCAAGAATCAGTCTAGACTGATAGCTGGGTTACCCAAAGTGGAATGGCCAAAGCTGAGCCACCTGTCTAAGACATCTTTTTCAGCAATTAACAACTGCATCAGTGGAAGATGATTGGTAGTTCCAATAGTAATGAGCGTGTAGAAATTCTTGAAGGATAACTGATGGGCAGCAGTAATAATGGAAAAGGAAGAAAAGCCTTTATAGAGAGCACCAGGCACACTCAAGCTAATGCTTTCTAGTGCTATATTTTGAAAACTCTGTGATGAGACTATCAAAAAATCAAACAAGAGATAGTGCTGGCAGATAAGACTCCCAGATGGAACAAAGGATGTCTAAATAGTGCTTTTGGAAAGAACCTGTTAGATTAAAGCTGAAATACTGATGTCTAAGGACACAAAATGAGAGCCTAATGGTGGATATCATGTATATATGAAACCTGGAATATGAGCAGTATGAATCAAAGCAAGTTTGGCAGTGTTAAAAAAAGAGAGAAATGGACTTCATGTGAGCAAACTAAAGTGGGTGGGAGCAGAGCATTTCAATTAGATAACTGCAAATGCCAGAATTGTACTAGTGTTCATGTAAAGTTTATGTCACTTTCAGCTGCTATTGCCTCTTATTATGTCTAAAACAATGGGCTAAATCCAATAGTTACTACCAACTAAAGTGTGCCTGCTGAATCAATGAGATATGTCTAAGTCTTGACTGAAGAAGCCCCATTTACTTAACATAGAAGTGGAAAAATATTCAGCATTAGGAGCAATTTTCTGCCTCAGTATCCACTAGCTCCCAAAAATGTCCAAACCCTGCAACCCCCATCTTTTATTTTGAAAAATGGGCAATTTCTCTTGTTAAATGGTACTTTAGGCCTCCATATCCCATTTAAAGGGTGCATTACCATCCCATGAAGTTGGCTTGTTTGCTCTTTCTTTCTTTGCAAAAACAAGCAGGGCTTTGGGCCATAAAATCAGAGTCTTATTTTTCTGATTTAATGGGTTTTGTTCTAGTTCTGATGAAAAACTGGATTTCACCTACCATATTCAAATAGTATGTATAAAGGTCGGGGGGGGGAGAGAAAAGTAATCATCAAAAAGATGGAACAGCAAGCAAATATCAGCTGTTGTTGTTATGTGCTGTCAAGTTGGAACCAAGTTAGTGACCCTAACAGGGTTTTCAAGGAGTGGGTTTACCAGTTCCACTGCCCCTGGCAGTTTCCATGGCTGAGTGGGGATTCAAACCTTGTTCTCCAGAGCTGTAGTCTGCTATTCTATCCACTACACCACACTGAGAACCATCAGTTACAATCTTAAAATATCCATCAATTAAGCCAGTTAAAAGCAAGGGCTCACAACGAAATTCTCAGACTGAATAGCTGTCTCTCAGGAGGAATCCGAATGTATATGTGAAGCAGGCTCCTACTCAAGATGGGATGAGAAATCAGCTTTAGCTTCTAAATCTACTTTAGAATTCTGAAGGGTGAGGACTAGCGATGGGGATATTCGTATACAAATACGAATATCCCCGCACAGGTGGCGTTAACGAGGGTCCAACCCCATGGGGCCAGACAGTCCACTTACTGATCCGCCGTGGACAGCACGATTCTATGAATGGCTCCACAGTGTGCAATTCACTCACCACTCTTTGACCTTTCAGCAAGGTTTGTCCTCCCGCCTCTTGTCAGGGTGGTGAGCGGATTGAGCACTGCGGAGCCATTTGTAGAATTGCGCTGTCCACAGCGGGTCGGTGAGTGGACTGTCCAGCCATGGGGCTGGACCCTCGTTAACACCACCTGTGCGGGGATATTTGTATTCATATATGAATACTCCCATCTCTAGTGAGGACTGAAACATTCCACGAACTGCCCTTCTTCGTTTGGCTAATTATTTGATTTGATCTGATCTGATTCAAAATATTTTTATTCCACCTTTCTCCTTAAAAAGGACACGGCACTTTATATCATTAAAAGACAATGATTTAAAAGCTAAAAACAGTACATATACAAATATTTAAAAAGAATCAAACAAATACCATATTAATGATGGTAAACAAAATCAACACCAAAAACACATTCAAAGCAACAAAGCACAATACTCCATTTAGAAACCCCACTCAAGACAGCCAGTCACTAAGGGAAAGAGGAAGGTCCTCATCTGTTTAGAGAAGGACAGCAAAGATGGGGCCAGCCTGGCCTCCTGTGGGAGAGAGTTCCAGAGTTTGGGAGCAGTGATAGAAAACACCCTTGCCCTTGTCTTTACTAAAGGCATGGGGCCAAGAGAAAGGCCTCCCCTGATAATCTTAACACTCAGGCAAGTTCATAAAGGGAGACATGGTCCTTGAAATAGCTTGGACCCATCGGTTTAGGGCTGTATAGGTTAAAACCAGCACTTAGAATGGTGCCTGAAAATTGCCTGGCAGCCAGTGAAGCTACTGTAACGGGAATTATGGGATCCCTGTAACCAGCCCCCATTAACAATCTGGCTGCAGTGTTTTGGACCTGCTGAAGTTTCCAAGCACTTTCCAAAGGCAGCCCCACCTAAGCGTGTTACAGTAATCCAGCTGGGATGTAACTAAGACATGAGTTACCGTGGCCAGGTCAGATCTCTCCAGGAAATGATGGTAAGCAACCATAAACCTGCAACCCAAGCACCATTCAGTGGAATGCTTATTTCAGCAAAAGATCTCCAAACTGCCTTTAAACACAAAAAGTTGCTTCTGTTGTTTAAAGAAGAAGACAACTTAAACTCCTGAAGGGAAAAGAGAAATGACATTTCTTGCTATGTAGGGTTACAGGCACTGCTGAGTTTATCGACCTACTTCAGTTACTGTCTGGTTTTAAATTACAGCCCATCATAAAACTGAAGGCAGTTAACAATGGTGTATGTTGTTCTTTGTCTCCAAATTAAGGTCCTCAAGCCTCACCAATATCTTTTCACCCAATGCAAATTCTCTTTTGGATTAAAAAAGGGGGGATCCTATTGGCTCCATTGGGCAAGTTAAATATATCTGGACTGCCAGATTACAGCTGCCCCCACCCCCAGCCATTGCCTCTTTTCTAACAGTTCTTTAGGACACAAAATAGCCTGAGAGCAAAGTAAAAAGAGAGACAGAGAGAAAAAAAAGATCTAGTGAAATATTTTATAGCCTGAAGGATTGACTTCACCAGCATAGGGAAACAAAAAACAAGGATCTTGGTTTTCTGGGCTTGTCAAGCTCCAATATTGACATTTAAGAAGTTGGATTTATTTGTACATTTAAAAGCTCTGGGCAAAACTGGTCCTACAGAAGAAAATTTGTTGGCCGTTCCTGACAGATTTCTCCAGTGCTAGATTTTACTCTGACCTGTGTGGTTTAAAAGAGAAATTGGAAATCAAATAAGTGTATAATTTATAATAGCTATATGCTACATAAGAACTGGCCAGCCAAGTGGTGTGTATGTGTTTTAATAAGAAGCAAGCAGCAATTAAGGTCCTGAGCTGATGGGCTCAACCTTTAAGTGCTCCAGCTTCAAATACTTTTCTAAGATTTTAATATTCTCACAGTCTAGCTTTGTATTATTCTGGTGATTAGCAAACCTAAAATGGAACAATTTAGCTCTTACTCTAGCCAGAGCTTTTAGATCTGTATACTAGAGGTTTCAATATACTTCCATATATTAGAAGTTTAAACCAGGGCCTTAAGTCAAAAGATGGAAAAGCACAGTTTCTAAAAGCAAAGTTTCATCTTTTTCATTTTTGGGTTTGATTCTTGCAAGACTATTTTTAAAGCGATGAGCAACAAAATTAGCAATGGACAGCCCTTACACCTTAAACTCTGTATGTGTGTATTATGTGCTGTCAAATCACATCCAACTTACGGTGATCCTATTAGATTTTCAAGGTATGTAAGAGACTTAAAAAGTGCTAACCCCAGTGAATTACCATGGCTGAGCTCGGATTTGAACCCTGGTTTCTTGAGTCTTAGCTCTCAAATCTGTATACCCCAAATCAGATCTATATATATGAAATAAAAGTGGGAAAACGGATAAATGTAACTAAAACCTTAATCACATACTTGAAACAGATCACTAGCAGGATGTGGCCTAGATAGAGTGTTTAACACTCCTTTTGTGACTTCAATAGATCATAGAAAGCAGGCATGGAAATGTC